TCAAATAGGAAGCGGATCAACAATAAAAAAGGGCAAGAAATTAGTGTTGAGCTAAGGCGGCCATTGGAATTTGTGTTAATGTATAAAGTTTATACTGTATTTTGATGAACTTTAATATAAATTTGTAATGAATCTTGGATAAGGTTGACTTGTATCTATGTCAATATGATGTGTCCTAATGTTAAGAATATTGATCATGGAATGCTTGATTGGTGTAGCACATGGAAAAAGGGAGATAAAATCAAGAAAATCATGATTAGAGGATAAAAATACCCTAAACAGTAACAATCTTGTGTTACACAAAATATGAGCAAATGGATGAATTTGGACTTGAAATCTGGCAAACTTATAGATCTTATTTTTAGCTTTAAAAAATGATAGATCACTAAATTTGAAGTTTTGTACTAGAAGATATGTCCTTCTAAAGTTGGGCTAAATACTGAAAATTTGAAAATTGATCATATAAACAATACAACTTGTCAAATTTTTTGGCTCTGTTTTGAACGGATATGAGGCCAATGAGTTTTTTTTTTCTTATAAAAGGCATAACAAGCTTCAAATAGAATTGGAACCACTCAGTTTTGATTTTTCTACATATAGTTATGAATTTTCAAAATTGACCCAAATTGCTGTAAACAGTGAATAGTAAACCATAAATAAAAATTTCAAACTTAAATTTTTCCATATTTAAGGCTTATATACTAATTCTAAAGGGTTTCAGTTACTATATGGTAAGGCAATAAATGAGGTGTGATACTATTCCCTCTCATTCTCATCTCCAACTTTGCTTAGTTAGGTCATTTTTCTACTTTCTTGATTTTTGATTCAAGTACCCTATGTATGAAAGTTCATTAACGTCAAAATAAAACTTTATGCAAATTGTTGAAATCTTTTCTTGTTTCGTTTTTGGAAGGGTTCTATTAATCTTTTAGAGGCAGATGAAACATCTCATCATAATTTATAGGTATGCTACCTTCAGTGATTGAAAAGAAATTAACAACTAATCTTGGTACTGTCTTACCTCTCAATCTCACACATGTTCAGCAATTTCCTATCACAGTAATATTGCCTCTACTCTGCAATCTCTAGGTACTTTCTTGATTCTTGATTTTAATGCTCCGTGAATTCATTAATGTTAGAATGATTTTTAATGTGAGCAAATTGAGCCCGTCGCTTGGATCAAAGGAAGTCCTATGATTACCATCATCCAAAAGAACCAAGACATGAGCTTCCTTCCTTCGACTATAGTTAAACCCAAACCCTTCAGCTCCAGGCATTACTGCTATCCTCAATTGAAAACACAATCGATAGGATTTAAGAACCAACAAGATAAAGCTAGAAGCACCTATTGAACTAAAGGGCAACATGTTCAAGTCTTCTGCAGGAAGAAGCTAGATACTATGCAGGCTGGGAAAGTAAAGAACAATGTCACAATAATCATAGCAGCAAATGATATTATAGAATTTTGGGACCATATGGAGGTTAAGGAGGTGTTCATCTCTTGTCTTCGTAAGGGTGAGAGAACTAGGGAACTATTTAGTTGCCTAGTTGTCTACTGTGGTTATTAATTTGAATGGTCTTCTTTGATAGACTCTTTTTTAATTGAATAATAAATGTGTAAATCCACTAGGGTTAGTACTTAGTAGGGATCTTTGGTTATGATGAATGAATAAGGTCCCTTTTAGCTGTTTGAAATTTGATATCCCTCTTTTATGTTTCTTTCTCTCTGAGATCACATTCTCTGTTTCCCTTTCCCTCTCCATCATTCAAAGTAAATATATCTTTAGATTTAATTGGAAATGTATTCCTCATATGGAAGAAATCCTAAAAATCTAATCAGGCATGCTATGACAAATACTATTATAGACTCACTATTATGTAGATATATAAATATTTTAAATATTAGTTAAGTTATTACTAATATAGTCGTTAGGGGGATTATTAATTTAATTCTCTACCTATAAATAGTTGATGTTGGTTCCTAATTGTATTAGACTGTTGCGTTAATGATCTGAGATCAGTAGAAGTGCATCAAGTTTTTCTCAACCCCTGATCTATCCTATTTTCTCTAGATCCCTCGTTCCTATTTTTCCCTTTCTTGTTCTTTCTATTGTCTTTCTAGGAAATACTAGAGCAATGGTATCAGAACCAGGTTACATGGCATACCAGTGGATATTATAAGTGACAGAGATCCTATTTTTATTAGTAATTTCTAGAAAGAATTTCTTAAGACTCTTAAGACTGAGCAGAAACTCACCTCAGCCTACTATCCTCAAAGCGATGGCGAAATTGATGTTTTAAACCGATGTTTGGAATCTTACTTGTGCGGCATATGGTTGGAGAATCCTAAGGATATGAGTTTTTTTTATAAGATTGAGCAAAGGATTCATTGGCAAGTGAGGGTTTCGACTGTCACTAGAGATCATACAAAGGCTCCTCCCTTCGAGCTATGGGTTTTTTATAAGATAGCAATCTATGTTCAAGAGTAGCAAGTGTTTACCTAGGAACATGCCTCTTATGTTTTTTTTCCCCTACTCTCAAATGTCAATATGCTTGTTTCGTGAGGTGTTTTGGTGGGGAAAAGTAGCCTATAGGTGTGATAAGTTAGTTTGCAAATTTGAGAGATGGTTATTATAGCTTTTGGCCAATTTGACTTATGGATCAAAAATTACTTTTTTTTAATAACAATTACAAAAGCACCTAAAACTTATTCATGACTTATGTAAAAGTAACTTTTTTAGAATTAAAAGACATTTTTGCACTCATGTTTATGTTGTTCTTATGCTTTTCTCTATATATTTCTTGTGCTTCCCAATCAGTTTTTAAATTTATTTTTAATATTCTCTTAAGTGAAAATACTTTTTAACACAATTTTACAATATTTTTAATTTTTAACATTATTTTTATGTAGAGTATATTATCCAATTAATTATGTAATATTATTTGGTTCAAAATTTTCATATTATTATGATTTTTAATTTAAATATATTTTATTCATTAAATAAAACTTTTTCTTATTATAATAATTTAAATTATTATATTTTGTAAATTCATAACTTTAATTATTTTTCATTATTTAATAAAAGTCATACCTATTTTGATCATTCTACAAACTAAACTTATTTATTCAATTATCATACAAACAACTTTTTTACTTTGCAAGATAATTTTTATAAAAAATCAATCCAAATATAAATTACATTAAGCAATTTAACCTTTTTAAAAGTAAAATTGAACATAAGTTACTTTTTCGTACCATCAATCTAAACAGACCTAACAACGAGTGTCTCTCGTGTTTAGCCCCTGAGCGGTCTTGTAATTTTATTTTGATCAGGTTTTTAATTTTCTTATAAAAAGTTTATTTTACCAGCTAAAAAGTTTTTTTTTTTGCCAACTTTATAAACGGATAAAAATAAATCCTGTTACGAGTTTTTTTTTGGCCAAACAAATCCTGTAACGAGTTAACAACTTAAATAAATCATCGTTATATTTGTAATTATATGGATAACTTTGGCCTAAAAAACATATTTATATGAATAACAATAAAGTAACGTTACTTTAATATTATATCATTATTTATTGCTGGCAAAAATATCATATCATTATTTGTTGCTTTCACGTTTTTCTTTTTCAAAAAGAGATAATCATGTGAATGGGAGAATTGCTAATAATAAGAGGAATATGATAAAAATGTGATTTCAAGAATCATGATGGTTTTTCATGTCATATGAATAGTTTGAATTGGGTTAGCGAGAATATTTGAATAGGATAAAACTTAGATCAAGTTTTATATTTGTTATATCAAGTTCAAGTTCTCTTATCACATATGATTATACATCATATTTTGTATGCAGATTTATAATCTAATGATAATACTTTAAAATATAGACACATAAAAACATATGATTGGAGAATTTGACATAATAGATATAAAAAAATTAACACAAATATTTTTCTTTTTAATTAAATTATATGAACATGAACTCTTTTCTTGAAATATGAATATTAACTTATAATATAAATACTTATTTTTCCTTGAAATACTAATATTTGGCATTTAAAATTTTTGTAATGTCTTGCTATTTCTTTTGCCAGCCAGAATATTGAAACAGTAAAAATAAGATTTAACAGAAAATAAAAAAGATGCGGGTTTTGGTTTTGGCAAATCCTATCATTTTTAAGCAGTGCAAGGGATAGTCACTTGCAAGCCCCTTTGAAGCGAGGGCAACCTTACCAAGGTATGCTTTTCACACAACGCGTTCACGGGGCATGGGCCATGAGAACCAGAGGCGATCACGCAGATAAGGGAAGAACAACCCGTAAGAACCGACATAGAAGCCCAATCGCATACTTTTGAGCCTTACATCGGCCTTTCTTTGGTGCATTTGAGCCCACAACTTGTAAGTGCCCAATTCCATCTCAATATTTAATACGTGATCCTCGGAGAAGCGGGTAAGAAGCAGCATTGCTATAATCTCCTCCTCTTGCCTCAGTTAGAGGGGGAAAAAACATTTTTTATTCTATTTATAAGGTATTATAAGGTATAAGAAATTTTTTTTTATATAAATATATATTTTTTTTATTTATTATTATGTTAATTTTATTTAGTATTTACATGAGACATAATATATATTAAATAGAATAAAAATTAAAAAATTATTAAATTTTAAATGAGAGTTAATAAAATTTTAAATTTTTCTTAATCTATGTAAAATATATTGAAAATGATTTATAAATAGGATTACTTTTAAATTTTCCTCATTTAGGTTTCGCAAATCTCTATGCTTGTTGATCTAACGGACCACGAGAAAAGTACTGGTCATTTCAATGATCTGGATAGCTGTTTGCCCTAGCAGCCTTATAAATCCGTAATTGCATCCGTATCCCGAGGACTCCGTCATATTTTCACTTCGACCCATGCGGCCCGGATCAACCCGTCCACCCGACTCTTCTCAGGTCTGTTTCGCTTGAAAATCACCACGGAGGCTGAATAAAGCGACACACGCATCCTCATAGATAGAGAGAGAGAGGGAGATTTGTGGGAAATCGAACTTTCCACTTCCGGGGATTTAAACTATGAATTTCGCTTTCGCTTTCAGATGTCTGGAGCTAATATTTCTCCCCGTCCGGTGACTCTCTCCGATTTGATCCTTGCTGTTCAATTTCAATTCTTATGAATGAAATTCACAGATATGACGGGATTTCCTCGGCCTAGTGATCCTACCCCATCTTCGTCCTCGTCTTCCTTTAGTTCCAACAGCAGGTCTGAATTCTTCTTTCAGATCATCCCTTTGTTTGTACCGATTTTTTTTTCCTCTTTCTTTCTCTCTCTGTGTCACTCTAGACTTGAGTTTTCCGCTGTCCTGATGTCGGAAGAAAGAAAGAAATTTGAATTCTGGGTCATGTAGTTTGACGGCATAAAAACCGGAAATTTGATGGCAATTTACCAAGTTTAGTGGGTTATGAAATGATGGTCTATCTTAGCTGATGCTTCTATTTTTGTCGATGGATGATAATATCTTCCTGATACTTTTTGGGCCAGCAGAAATCTTAAATAGCTCTGTACTTGTACCCAATTTATGTGGATTATTTCTGATTTTCGATTTCTAAGCTTTTCAAGGTCCTTTGTTTGGTGCTAGTTGATTTTCAACGTTGCCCATCTTTGATTTACTGCCACCAACTCAAAATTCAGCGGTAGTTTTCCCCCAAGGTGTGATTCAGTGATCTAATCCTAGCCCATTGTTGAGATCAATATAATTTGAAGTAAAATATGCACATTGCCTATCAACTGGGAGCATATTTAAGGAATTTTCTTTCTTGCGAAGAAATACATATGGATTATATAAGATGACCATAAATTCGGTGCACTGGACTACTGGGGAAGTGCTCACGCATGCTTTTATGGTCATGGAGCATGGAAACTTTGTTTATTCTTAAGTACTGAGGCTACTTGTCATTGCTTGGTCATGGAAGAATAAGCTGAATAATTCACAAGTTTCCAAGTACTTGTGAATGGATACCAAATTTATTTATTTTGGCAAACGATATCAAGTTTATTGTTGGCAGCTTCGGCAGAAAATTACTTTCTTTTGTTATTCGTTAAGCATCCAAAATTCAATATTTTTCTTCATGACTATTCTCTCACTTTATTTGTCTACTTTGGTCAGTGGAAAAAATGTATTTAATTTGTTAGCGCATAGAGAGATTTCTGCAAGATCAAAACATGTACCGAAACAGCACTGGGGAGAAGCTTCTGAACCAAAAACTGGTTCTTGCCCTCATACTAAAAACGATGCTGTGAGAGATTCGAAATGCAGTCTCCTCTCATGGTAATTTTGCAACTGAAGAGTATAGATCTCATTGAATGAAAAGCAAGCTGGTTCAAGATGTGTGCTCTCTTTTTTTCCCCCCTTTCTTCAAGAACAGCAAAATTGGAGTAATAAACATCTCTAACAATGACTTTCAGGATTGAGGCGGAGTCATTGCGGCATCTATCAGCTAAATATTGTCCTTTGTTGCCTCCCCCACGATCTACTATTGCAGCAGCGTTTAGTCCAGATGGAAAAGTGCTTGCATCGACACAGTAAGTTGGACTTTCCTCTTCCTCTTCCTTTTGCTACTTAGAACTCCGTTGTGGTTAGCTTTGTTTTTGTTTGGCATGTGCAGTGGTGACCATACTGTAAAGATAATTGATTGGGAAACTGGAAGTTGCTTAAATGTGTTAATTGGCCATAGAAGGACCCCTTGGGTGGTAAGCTTGTCATTTTATTGTTTGCCTCAATTTCTTGTAGTTAAATTTTATTTCATAGTTTCTCTTACGCTTGGTACTGATTATCGTTTCTAGAGAAGACAACAAAGCCCTGTTTTCGGTCATTTAATATTTGTTAAATGTGTTAGTGTGTGACAATTTTTTTTCTTTATTAGGTTTGAGGTGTTATATTATGTAAGAGTAGTTTGGTTGTGACTGGTGCACTAGAGTTTTATTCGAGCACGTGGCAAATGGCAATTAGCAAGTTTGTTCAGTTCCCATAGTTGGCAAGCGTCCCTTTTAGCCGGGAATGCATTCTGTCATTGATTTTTGTAGTTGTGCCTAAAAAGTTTATAATAATTTTATAATAATTTGGATAAGTTAGCATTGCCTTCAATATAGAAATGAATGGTAGTGGCTTGTATTGATTGTTTATCTGATTCAATTCCTTGTTAGCTGGATACTAGATGCTTTAACCATTTTGTTTATTGCTTGGTTCAACTAAAGAATGCATTCCTTTCTTCTGAGTTTAAGTCTCTTCTCTCTATTAATATGGTGCTGATGAATTACAGGTTAGGTTCCATCCGCTGCAACCGCATATACTTGCTAGTGGGAGCTTGGATCAAGAAGTTCGCTTATGGGATGCTAACACATCAAAATGCATACTATTTCACCATTTCTGTAATTTTACTCTCAATTCCCCTAAGTCCTAAATTACTTCTCCACTGTTGCAGAGTTTGTCTATTGCTCTATTGCTTCTATTCTCACTCTCATTATGATCTTTCCAATCACAGATCGCCCCATTGCATCCATTGCTTTTCATGCTGAAGGGGAAATACTTGCCATTGCATCAGGCCACAAGGTATGAAATTTACTTGCTGTTTGCCTATTTAATCTCTTATCTCATGTTTTTCTTGCTTTTTTTTTTTTGGTGGATCGGATGACATTGGTTTTTTCAATGCTGTGCCAGCTGTACATATGGCATTACAACAAGAGAGGTGAAGGATCCTCACCAACATTTGTGTTGAAGACGAGGCGTTCACTTCGGGCTGTTCACTTTCACCCGCATGCAGCACCATATCTTTTAACTGCTGAGGTGACAAATTGTGACGCCTTTGGTCATTTTCCGTGATTATTTACCTGTTGTGGCCAAAGTATCATGTTTGATTTCTTGTTGTAGGCTGATGCGTTTGGTTGATGTGCAGGTCAATGATCTTGACTCTCCAGATTCCTCAATGACGCGGGCTACATCTCCTGGTTATTTACAATATCCTCCACCTGCTGTGATTGTTGCAAATATTCATTTTAAGGAACATATTGCTTTTCCCAGCGGTGAATTACCTTATTTGTCATTGCCATTTTTCTTCTTGCCTTCATTTAATGTTGATGATTCAAGAATGGAAACACATAATGCTAGTCTTGTTGCTGGTTCAGAGAACATGCAAATTGAATCTTCTGCCTCAGCACAGTTTCAAGCAGTCACAAATGCTACAGAGCAATATAATAATATTGTGTCTCCCATGGACACAGTCTCTGAGATTCCTACTAGCTCTCAAACTGGTACAGAATGTGCTGTCCATAGTACCTTCTCTAATGGAATGGGAACTGGTATCAGTAACCTTGCTGTGGATGGTATGGAGACTGATGAAACAGTACCAACTGAAGGAAGCCAACATGGAAACTCTACAAATGTCGATTCTCTGAGTAATGTGCTGCATGGTTTATACAGACAGACAACAAATCATGAGGCTCTTAATGACTTGGGTCAATTTCACCGTTTTTTCCCCTCAAGGGACCCAAGTGGATGGGAGCTACCCTTTCTGCAAGGATGGTTAATGGGTCAAGGCCAAGTTGGTGTCCCCTTGGTGCTTCCTCATCTGAGTGGTAGTCGGGACAGCTTAGCTCAGATGGGTTCTTCCCCCATGGCATCTAATTTGTCTCCTCATGATGATGAAGCAACAACTTCATCTTCAGCTATTCCAGGAAGCACAAGTATACCAGGAGCTCCAGGGAGATCTGGTTGGCGGAGTTATTTTCCACAATCTCAAGTTCCTGCATCTGTATCTGGCAATATGGCCTCTTCCATTAACATCCCGCATGGTGGTCCTGACATTCAAACCATTATAAGTCGGATTCAGTCAGAACTTGCCACATCAGTAGCTGCCGCAGCTGCCGCAGAGCTGCCTTGCACAGTGAAGCTCAGAGTATGGTCGCATGACATAAAAAATCCCTGTGCCCCACTAAATGGCGAAAGGTGCCGCCTTGCAATACCACATGCTGTCTTGTGCAGGTATCATCTATGGTTAACCTATTTTCCATCGTGACATTGAATTTTATTGTTGTTTGGAAAAAATAGTTGTTTCACTTTGCTAGTCCATCCATTTTGAGAATTGATTGCTTCAATTCATAAAAATGGCTCAAGTTCTAAATTTTATGTTCATAATTATTTGCAGTGACTTGTTCAATTTTTATACTGTTTACATTTACACATTATGTTTCTAATGCAAAACTATGTTTGCAGTGAAATGGGTGCCCATTTTTCACCATGTGGTAGGTTTCTGGCTGCATGTGTTGCATGTATGCTTCCTCATGTAGAAGCTGATTCAGGATTACAAACTCAAGTACAACATGAATCAGGAGTTGCAACATCCCCAACACGACATCCAATCTCCGCACACCAGGTTATGTACGAGCTTCGCATATATTCACTTGAGGAGTCAACGTAAGGCACACTTCCTTCAACATATTTTTCTGGATAATGATTTGATTAAACAGGCACACCTCTGTGTTTATATCTAAAATAGTTTTGCTATCTAAATTTCTTGACTAGATTTGGAATGGTGCTTGCATCGCGGGCAATTAGAGCAGCTCACTGTCTGACTTCTATTCAGGTCAGTTGATTTATTTATTGATAACAAAACCATTCTTTTATCATTGTATTCATTATTATCATCACCAACCTATGCATAAAAATGTCTACCATTTATTATGTTGTGGGGTATCATTTAACTATATATTAAGAATTGCAGGTCCGGATTTAATAAAAAACGGAAGTAAGAAAGAGAGAAAAATGTTGGGGCTGAATAACAATTACTTGTTCTTTCTCCTGCCTTGTGTGCACTTTTAAATATTTCCTATCCTTTTTAATCACAGTTCTAGCTTTTCTTCTTATCAAATACAATTTGCTTTTTGTCCATTATTCCCCACCTTCTCTCTCTCACACACGTGTGGGCGTACATTTTTCTGTCTTAGGAACCCCTGAAATGAAATAGGAAACCTAATGGAACTGCAAATTGTTGTCAAGCTTGTTATGATAGCTTAATTGCCTATTTCTGTTTTGATGTCTCGCAAATAATCTATTTCTTATCTATCATTGTCATTTTTCTTTACTTGATTAGCTATGGTTTAAAAAGTTTTTGTCTTTGTGGATTAAATGTGTTTAACACTATTTAATGTGCAGTTCTCACCCACATCTGAGCACATACTTCTTGCCTATGGTAGACGCCATGGATCTCTTCTTAAAAGCATTGTTATTGATGGAGAAACAACGCTACCTGTATATACTGTGTTAGAGGTAAATTCTCTCTTAGTCTCAATGTAGTTTTCTCATTCATGTCATTCCTCCACTAGTTCTGAAAAATCAATTTATAAATGTTTGTTTTGATTGGTCATGAACTTCTGTGTTCATTATGGACCACCACTGGGAAACGTCAGCCATCACATTTGATAGTTTGATATGTTTTAGGCTGAATCAGGTTCCTGAATTTACTTGTTTCAGGTATACAGAGTGTCAGATATGAAACTCGTCATGGTGCTTCCTAGTGCAGAGGATGAGGTCAATGTAGCATGCTTTCATCCTTTTCCTGGGAGAGGGCTTGTTTATGGAACTAAGGTATTCTTTTATATGTTACCTGCTAAATTCACTGACATTGGCTAATCGGTAACACATTCCTTCTGGTTGTAGGAAGGAAAGCTTAGGGTGCTCCACTACGATGGAGCTAATGCGGTAAATGGGGCTAAAGCAAGTTACTTACCCGAGGAGAACATTATTGGAGTCAACTAACAAGTAAGGTAAATATTACTTGTTTTTTAGGTTTTCTAATTTTTATAGATGCTCTTCTACACGGTATTTGATTCATTGTTTTTTTGTTTTTTAAATGAAAACTGGAGTCCATCAATTAAGAGGTCTGTACATGCCATTGGTCAGTAATACCTAACTTCCCTCATCGATCGCCACCTCTTAGGAAAAAGGTGGGGTTTGATCAAAGATGCAAAACTATCTGTAAGACTGAAAAAGCTTAGCCAAATAATCAGCTGTGGTTAAGCTCTCTCTATGGACATGTTTAATCATCACTGATTCTTTGGTTTCAATTCCATTTTGGGAGATACAAGGGTAAGGGGTATAGAAAATTGAAGAATTAGGTATATGTTGGTTACCTGTTTGATAATTGTTTGTTGTTGCTGATATGAGGCTCTGTGGAAAGGCTTTGTTGGTTATTCAGACAGGCTTGAATATTTCTTATTTCCTGAAGCTAGATGTTAAACTGTATATTTTTCTCTTGTTTCCTTGCAACAGATTTAGATTGGTCAATGTATGAAATCACATCGGACTGTATCGTTGTGTTCTTCTGCTCTCTACTTAGCTTGTTGCTTGGAATTAACGCATAGATTTTCCACAAGCTTATCTAGGTTTTAGGTGCGAAAAGAGGAGTTATGGAACTCTTCTCAATATAACACTCAGAACAATGATTCTGTTAGAGTGTAGGTCTACTGTACCTATTCCATTATTTTCCCCACTCCACAAGACTTACCTTGTCCCATGGTGGAAATCAAGTGTTGGAGCCAGGGGTTTCATTTCATTTCCACTAAGCTTGGGACTGTTATCAACTGCAGAGCAAAACTGCTATCTTTCATCCCAACAAACTAGCCTGTCACAGAACCATGAGTGCAGTCCACTACCACTTCATAGTAGCCATTAGGCATGAATTTGTAATTCAGAATCTGCGCTCCGTCTTCATCACAATGTGCAACCAATGAGATTAGGTGTTGATGATGCAACCTTGGTAAAAATGCAATCTTTCTCAAAAATTCTTTTTGGCCTTTTAAGGAATCTCCTTTTCACTATTCCCATAGTTGTTTCATAAAAACAAAATGCATTTAGAAACCTTCCCATAACCTCCTCAGCAAACTTTAGATGAGTTCCTAACGTTTTGAGTTGCGTGAGCCAGTTCTTTGAAAATGAATGCTTTCGCACCATCTATTTTGATAGAACTATTAAGGGGACGATAGCTTGGGATGGTATTTGACATGACTTTGTTATCACAAGGATGACTATTGTAAAGATTGCCCCAACACAACGTGGTTGTATTAATATCTCTTGTACGTCTTAGCAAGTACTCTAATTAACACAGAATCTTCCCTTAAATGGTGAGGAGAGTATACTTGTATGGTCGGTTCTGTTGGTTGCCTTCATCATTTTCTTTTGCTAGTAGTGGCAAGTTAAATGGCAGATTATGGTTTCTAGCAAGTGCTCCCAAATTTCTTTCTGCCATGCTTCAATCAGAAAATCTTGACCACCCATATACAGAACTCCTGTCTGGTTTATTTCATCGTGTCTTCTCTACTCAACAGTCGTTCATTCTCCTCCAACTCTAAGCAAAGTTGATTTTATGGAGCTTTGACTGTTTGCTTTTTGTTTACGGAGGGTAATGGGCTTGGACTGGTCAAAATCAACTGCTAATTGGGGCAATTTGCTGCTACAGTTAAGCCCATCTTATATTTTATGCCTTGCCAATTCAACATTGGGCTTCTACTTCGTCTAATTTTCTTAAACTCGATCTATGATCCTGTTTGTATCCTTCTCCGTCGTTATCTCTGTCACTTGTCCTGGCCTCAGTCAAATGCACTCCCAAGCTTGTCTTGTTTGCTGCATGACATTCATCTATTGTTTGTGGATGATAATGTTTTTCTTCATCTAGTTTAATATTGATCCCTTAAGATCTTTCGGGTCTTGGATTGGGTCCGCCTTTTCTGTGGTATGAACGAATGATTTGAAGAACTTTGATTGACAGATTCGGAGACACCCACAACCCTGATTTTCTTTCTTTCTTTCCCCCTTTTTTTTTTTTCCCGGTTGGGTTACAAAGGCAAGCCGGTGCATGAGACAGAGAAATTAGGATGGCCTCCTAGGTACACCAATCAAGAGCAAGCAAAACAGTTGCTAGTGACAGCATTGCAAGTCCTCTAAGGACATCCTCAAACAACCATACCGTACATCTGTTACTAGGACTATAAAAAGTATCTTGATGCCCCTCTCTTGCAAGGAAGTCTACGCATCTGATGATGTTTCTACACGTGTATCGTAGTTCTGCCTCCCAATTTTGGAATAGTAGCTCTCTAACTTCAGCAATGACACTTCGCGAGGGGCGATCTAGTGGATGTTCTCTGATAAGAAGATTGAAGGCATCCAATGAATCTAAAATCTAAGTGCACAACAACCTCACGGAATCCAAGTTGCTGCCTGAGTTCCAAACCTGTTTTAATTGCCAACAATTCTAACCAAGCACAAGCAAACAGGTCTATGAAATCCCATGACCCACTCTCCTGACTCATTTCTGATGAGCCCCCCCCCCCCCCATGTCACCTGGACAAGTAGCCAATCTGAACCGTTGACATCAATACAAACTGCACCATAAGTTGGGGGAGTCCGGTAGTCTTCTTGGAGACTATACCCATTAAAGAACAACCCTGATTTTCCATACATACCTTTTCCACCTCCTTTTGTTTTTTTGAGGATGTCATATGACTTTCTTTTCTTTTGTTTTGTTTTTGTTTTTTGTTTTTTTTTTGGGGCAAACCATAGGACTTTATCTTTCGAGTCTCTTGTGAAAAGGCAATTTTTTCCTACAGAGAAGAGGAAGTGTTTTTTTTCAGTCAGTTTCACCATGGCCAAATACTTTATATGTATTTGGGTCAGAGCAAGTAACGTAAAATTATTTAACATTACAATTTCTCGTGTGATTGTAGGTTTAGAAGCATGACTGGAGGTAGAATGCTACGAACTGCTTCGCATCACCTGTACTTCTGAGATGGTAGACTGAAGATTCCAACCTACTTTGTTTGGTTTTACATTTGTGGTGGTGTGAAATTTGAACAGACAGTGACATATCCTGCCTAAATTTTATTACATGAGTAATGCCCAGGGTTTTTTTTTTTTTAAAACTTCTGATAAAAGGGCTGAAGTAATATTAAATGTACCTAATTTACATGCGGCTATCTCTGCAGATGCCCCATGATCTGCCCGAGCAAACATACTGGATTGCTGAGTGCATGCAATGCAGCCCATCAAATGCTGGGACCTCACACTCACTTCCCCAGAAGCTGTACAGTTTGTATTATTCATGTACTAACATGCTCTCTCTCCACATTTGCATTCCCTATTCCTCCAAACCCCCCCCCCAAAAAGTGGGTTTTTCTTTTTCATTTTACACATCCTGTGTACAAGGAGTTGCCCAAAAAAAGGAAAAAGAAATTTATCTTCACTGAAAGCTTTGATGCTTTATGGACTCTCAGGAACTGAGCAAAGCTGCGAACTATAACGCAGAATTGCTCAAGTTTGTGTTCGGGCGCCAAAAACCCAAGCCCATGAGCAAAGAAATCCACCTGTGATCGAAATAAATCAGAGACCTGGAAAAAGCTTATTTGAACTTTTTTCGTAAGTTAAAAATGAGCAGTGGACCTTGAAGGTAAAAATACTAAAGAAAAAATGAAAGAAGTTTCCCGTAGATGGAGATGAGGTCCGCCTGGGAATCCAAGAGAGAAGGTACGAAGAAAAAAATGAAAATGATTGATATGGTTTTGTGAGGGCAGAGAGAAAAGGTTAAAGAAATGAAAGAAGCTAAAGAAAAATTGGCATAATCATAAATAAAAGGTTATAAGCGGGTCCTATTCGTGATTTCCAGATCTAGAAAAACAACAATCACCCCTTGTACTTGGAGGATATTTCCTGATATGTTGGTTGCAAAAATCTAAACCGTCATGAGCTTCGAAAATGTGCGTTTGCATGTTTCTTGTCATTTATTTACGATACAGCTGACATGAATTGATTTGCAATCATTTACTATGTGAAAATGAACATATATTGTTATTAATCATTTAGTTTTTAGATTTTAGCTTAGCTCTGGACTTGGCAAAAGGAGACCCGCAGTTTAACAGAAAACACTTGATGTATATACTACTTTCGATCCTTAACATAAGAGTTAGTTGATTAATTTAAGTAGATTAAGAAAACTAGTTAAGTTAATTATTTGTAATAACTATATGTTGTATTTCCTAAAATATCTTTGATAATCAAGTTTATTAGATAGAACTATCATTATTATAAGGACTACTTTAAGGGAAAATAGATAAATATGAGAAACAAAATATATTAAGGTCTTATATTTATGATCAAAATAAAAGTAAAACGAGGTCTTATATTAAGAATTGGAGGTAGTACATAGAACTTATAACAGAAATCACTGTTTCAAATAACTGATATTTAGTACTACCTCCCGTTCTATTTATAAGAGCTAGTTGACTAATTTGAGGAGATTAAGAAAAGAAGTTAAGTTAGTTATTTGTAATAAATAGATATTATCTTTCTTAAAATATCCTTACTAATCAAGTGTATTAGCTAGAACTATTATTGTTAAAACAACTATCTTGGAAAAAAAATACATAAATATGAGAGACAAAATAGATTGAGATTTTATATTTAGGATCAAAATAAAAGTCAGATAAGGTCTTATATTAAGAATCGGAAATAATATAAAGGAGAAATAAGTTGTTTTGAATTTGCTATTATAACAATAACTAACATCATTATGTTGTCGTAACAGTAATGGAGAATCTGTTTCCTTGTTTTAAAAAAAAAAATCAAAACCACCCAAAAAAAAAAAAACATGCAACATAAAGTGTTTGTTTAAATGATATGGCAAACGTGACAAGCGCCTTGATAGCCGGAGAAACAGAGAGAGAGAGAGAGAGAGAATGGAGTAACGGGTATTGTTGGATTCAATCAAACTCGAATTATTATTATTATTACTAGGGGTGTTCAAGAATGACCCGTCCCGGTCGGCCCGTTCCGGTCCCGGTCTTATTGGAACGGGACGGATCCGTCCCGAAATTTTTCGGACTGGACAAACCGGGACGGGACAAAAGATGGACCGGGACGGGACGGGACACGGGACGGGGTCGTCCCGTCCCGGTCCCGTCCCGGTCCTTTTTTATTTTTTTTTTTAATTTTTTTAATTTTTTATCCCATCTATATAATATTATTTTTTTCATATTTTTTTAAGATTTGAGACTATTGTATGGAAGTATAGATATATTTATTTAGAGTTTTTATATTTGTTAATGATTTGAGATTATTGATGATTAGAATTTTTAGCAAGTTTTTATTGTGTTAAAAGCTTTTGTTTAGAGTTTTTAATGATTATTATATGTAATATTTTAAGTTTTTATTTAAGAGTGTCCAAACAAATAAATAAAAATAAAAAGATGTTTTTATAATGTTTAAGCCCAAAAAAACATAATTAAAAAAATCAGATTTTATTTAAAAAAAATTTAAAAAATTTAAAAAAAAAAAAAAAAAAAAAAGGGGTTCGGGACGTCCCGGTCCCGTCCCGGATTCGTCCCGTCCCGACTGGGACCGGGACAACCCTGGGACGGGCCGGGACACAGGACAGATTTTCTGTCCCGTTACTGTTCACCGGGACGGAACCGGGACGGGCCTGTCCCGGTCCCGATCCGTCCCGTGAACAGCCCTAATTATTACTACTAACTCCTGTCTAGTTTAGTTGGGAATCGCAATTAATCTAAAATATAATTTTAATCTGTTTTGTTTTGTATTTTTTAAAAATATCTCTATTAATTAAAAAAATTATTAAAAAATAATTTTAATTATTTAATACATATGATTAAAGAAAATAATTTTAAAAAATTAACATAATAAATAATTAATTTAATTAATTTTTTTAATCACCACAAAAGTTAGCATGCTACGCATGAATCCAAAAAAAAAAATCTGCGCGTTGACCGGTCAAAGGGACATTAAAAGCAGTATCTTTAATTTTTAACCCGTAAACAAGACGGGTTTGAACGGGACATGCATTGACGGATATTTTGTTCCTTCTTTGACCACAACTGTTGTTTTCTGTGTGTCTGAATCTGAACTCTGAATACCCAACAGAAACAGACAACCAGAAAGACAAACCCACGCTGGCCACTCCACAAATAGACAAAATTGCGAACCGAATAATTCATTTGAAGTTGATATTCATTAAGAAAAGAAAAAGCTGAAATTAATAACTAACAGTTCAGTGATATCCAAAAATATACACTAAGATGCTGCTGCAGACGAAGATGAAGACGAAGACGACGACTCAAATTTGTAATATTTATCGACGGCGAGTGAGACGTCCCAAGTACAACTGAGACCTTTAGGGATGATCACGAGGTCTCCGGCGCCGAACTCCACAAACTCCGATGAGCCTTTTGGGTACGCCTTCACCTTCCCTTTCAGCAGATAACACGTCTCTTCTGCATCAAACTTCAACTGGTACTTCCCTGGCGAACAACCCCATCTTCTTTTTGTAACCCACAAAACAAAACCCATCACATCCCCAGGAAAATAGAAGCAAAAACACAAACATCAGAGATGAAGAACTTAAACCCAGATACATGGATTTGCAGAGAGAGAGAGAGAGAGAGAGAGAGAGGGATTGAGAACAAGGAGCATACTTGGGCCAGCAGGTGACATTAAGAGTGGCAAGGCGTGCCTGAGGAGGATTTCTTTCGACGATGATTTTAAGGTTTGAATTGGAATCTGAAGCCATGGAATATAATGGGGGAGGAGTAGGGTGAGAGAGAGAGAGAGAGAGAGAGAGAGAGAGAGAGAAGCCGATGAAATCAAAAGTATGGTGCTTTAATTGCCAGCCGGTGACTGTGAGATATTTGGAGATTAAAGAGAAGGAATCTTCTGCAGAGTTAGAAGACGATAAGGAAGGCTTGGAATATATGTTCATATATGTTACTCCTCCGGTCCTAATTATAACACCCAATTGACTTATTTGAAGAGATTAAAAAAGTAAGTTAAATTGGTTATTTATAATAAATAAGTATTGTCATTCCTAAAATATCCTTGCTAATTAAGTATATTGGCTTAAAACTATCATTATTAGAAGGATTATCTTGGAAAAAAAATGCATAAATATAAGAGACAAAATGGATTGGGGTCTTATAATTAGGACTAAATAAAAGTCAAATTAGGATCTTATAATAGGACCGGAGGAGTATTATATATCTACTGGTCTTTTTCTTCTTTTTTTATTTGAGAATCTCCCCACCACATCATGCAATTGCCTGTAGCATCACCACCCACGCTTATCTCCGTTTGCTGACCGCAGTAATATCAGAACCCATTATGAGGAATAGAATAGCACTATTAATAGCACTATTAATCTAACCCTTAATCATTTTTAAAATAGCAGGCATGTTACAAGCTGTTCAAACGTGCGAGGTCCTAATTTTTTAATGAGTTTATGCCATTAAATCATATAGTCTATATATATATATATATATTAATCATTGCATTAGGTGTATTTATTAAAAATACGAGTATAGATTTTTATAAATAATATTAATTTCAATTCAATTGTGATTTATATAGTTTTACTTGAAAAAACAATCAAAGAAAACTATTATATTTTACGTGTTCTACCGTTGCGCATCCTTCTTCATTCTTGATTTTTTTCGTAAACTATTATATTTGGTTGCAAAATGAACTCATGGATATAAAATTGATGTTTTGATCATCAAATGAAACGAAGTCACCGATTATAATTTTTCATATTTTTCTTTGAACCCAGTGATGATATTTTTAACTTTTCACCAAAATCGACTTCCTGGACGTTGTCAATTGAACTGATCTCTGCTTTATCTAACTTTATTACTCAGGGATGAATGAATGATATAGTTGGATACTTTCTCTTTACGGTGTGGGTGTCTCACTTTAATCTTCTTACTTTTAGCATTTATTCAAAATATTAGATAATATATTTATTTTCTTTTATTATGATTTTTTCATTACGATGTTTAATTTAATTTTAAACATGGTATATCATATATTTTTACATAGAAAGATATTTGAGTCATTTATATATTTACTTATTTTTGTTTCTCTCTATTTTTTCATATCCATCCAAACACGAGGGATGACAGCATCTTCTTCCTAATTTTCTCATCCCCCCCCCCCCCGGGTTTTTTTTTCCTTGTCATTTTCTTTTCTCTCCGCTTTTCTTCCATGAAAATTGAAACCAACCTATAGATGAGACCCATTCATTTATCACCTAAAAGGCAACGGCGTTACACCCATTTTGCTTTCAGACCTGTTTCATTTGCGTGGCCCAAAAATGTTTAAAAGCCCATGATCCATCCATCCATCCATCGCACGTGCGGATAACAGAAAAGAATTATTGAAGTGAAAAAAATCAGTCTAATCTTTTTTAGAATTATGTTTCATGATGAGAGACAAGAATAATGAATAACGATAAGTCATTCACAGATTTACAATCCTGTACCATTTGATTGTTTGAAAATATTAAAAAGAAAAATGGTAATTCACATGCACAACAAAGTGTACAAATGAAAGGCGGTTTAGTACCGTCCCTTCCCTGAGCGAGCCTTCGCATTTTCATGTAGTTTGAGATAACTGATAAGCCATAATTGACAAATAAAATACAACTTCCTAAAACCTGCATAAACATACTGATGATTCATGTAATATAGCATATTAATTTAAACGAGATTCCTAAGGTTACATTTTCTGAATTCAAGCATTACACCAGTAAATCCATGCACCAAGCTGAAAGTAAAAACTAGAATAGGTTATGCTAGCATGTTTACATCCAACCTAACAACGGGGATCAAAGCCTAGCATGGTTGAAATGTAAGAACTGTACAATTAGGACATCATCTCAGACCACGGAGTTTTGAAATGTTGTTTCTCAGTTATGCATGGCCAGACCATTCCAGGACGCGTCAAAATCACAGAAAATAGGATCGGGGGATAAAATATTCAGCTCAGAAGGCAGAGCATTATCTTTTTCCATGAGCCAGTCCTCAAAATCAGCAAGGTGGGCGCTTCCAGCAAACAGCAGACCAGGATCGTTCGTGTCGGGAGGTTGGTTAGTAGCCCCTGGGATTGGTGGCTGAGAACTTTCAATCTGAGGTTCAACGTTTTGGCTGGAATTCTCATTCCACACCAAGTCAACAAATGAATGAACAGCCTTTGTCGCAGTTTCCCCACGATTATCAAGAAGTTCTTGTTGACAGGAATCTTGATTCACCTTTCCCCATTGAGAGACATCAACACTGGCATTTTCAATTTGGCTCCCAATTTGATGCCCATTCCCATGCAGATTGCTACTCAGGCAAGCCACACCCTTTGAAAGAGCATCATTACCTTGAACACAAGATTGATAAAAACTCTGGCTATTTTCCAAACGGGATGGCTGAGTGTATGCTTGGATTTCAGAAGCTACGGTATTTTCACCATTGAAGTTTAAGCTGGGCCTTGCAGAGCTTATATGAGGGCATGAAGACAAGTTTGCAGGGAGCCAACCATTATTCCACCTATTGTGAGTTCTGTCATTTGATAAGCCTGGAGAATCATAATATTTGCTACCCCGTACTGCAGGATTGACATGATTGCTATAGCCAGATGAATCATGAGCAGAATGGTTCACAGTCAGGGTTCCCCCGGCATTACCTAGCCCATTAGAGATTATAAAACGAGAATACTGAGGGCGTAAGTTACTCAAACCTCGCCGCCGATCCCTTTGGAATGCATTATTACGTACACCCAGCCCAGGCCTAGGAACAAAGGAAGTCGGGGATCTGTTCCTGATGAAAGTAGATGCTGACTCCTGACATCTACCATGGTTGATGCCATTTGGAACCGTAAAGTTAGTTGTTGAGGGGCACATAGGGATGGTATTTGCCCTGGAGACCTGATTCTGAATGGTAGAATTCAGTGAGGAGGAGCAAGCATGGATTATAGGAGACCAATGGTCATTATTTTGTGGGATAGTATGTGTTGTGGTCAATCGGGATGCCTGAATCTGTGAAATGGAATTTGTGGACAATTGACTAATGCCAAGTGGCAGAACTTGGTTTTGCTGGGAATGGTCCAAAGGGAGTGAATTACCATAAATAGTTGAAGCTGGTAAGGGAGCACTCTTCTTCAGCTTGAAATTTTTCCTCTGAATTTTCCACATCTCAACCTTTTCAGTTGCATGACAATGATCAGTACTGGAAATGCCGGTACCCCACTTTGGACAAGGGGCTGGCAAATCACAGACGTAACAGTGGCACTGCATGTTATCAGGGATAGAAATCAGAGTGACAGAAGGATAATAGCATAGAAAAAATATGATGCTCAGACAGTTAAAGCATATGTGCTAAATTCACATAATGTGATCTATACCTTTTCGCAGTGACTCTCATGGGGGGTGGAAGAGAACGGAAATGTAGCACAGTGATGGCGAGGATGAGGATAGTCCCTACATGCAATCTTCAAGGAAAAACAAGAGGAGATAAAAAATCATAAACTTACAGATCAGGTATACTTCCACGCTCAGCAAAGAAAAAGTATGTGACTCAGGAATGAACAAATAAATGCACCCAAAAAAACATCTGAAAGCATATGAAAACAGATTACGCAGAAATCAATCAAACTCCTAAAGACCTATATTCATCAAAGATTTGTATTCTTAGCATATGAGAAGTGTCTTTGGGGGAAGGTGGTAGGTGCGCTAAATAATCATGAAGCTACATTTGGACATTAAACAATACAATCTGCCAGGGTTACGATCTCCTCTCTATACTCTGGACTGAGTAAACAACATATACCCATACCCATACCTTTTAGATTAGGATCAATGATCCTATTATCAATCTTTGAATCAGTCCTGCAAAAAGTTCTTTCTTATTTTTTCCCCAAATGCAGAATCCAAGATGGCTATCCCAGGGTCAAACTCTTGTTCCATCACAAATTTCCTTCAGCCTCCTCAATTTCTCCATGTGGCAATTTCATGTCCTGCAAGAATTTGCCAAGAGGCTAAACCTTGCCATGCCGCACCATTAAATCATTCAAATATTGAGGTTTGAACTTATGGATGATACGATGGGTTGGCAAAGAGAAAGTTCTCCCCCGAGAACCATGAACCACAAACCTGCTTTTCTAATGCAGCCACATTCAATCAGAAAGAAAAGCTACTTCCACTACGTTGTTGGGCCAAAGCTGACCAGCATCTATATATCTATTCTATATATAATATAAATTCTATATAAAGCCGTACTATTTGTAGGGTGTAAACAGTGGGGCTTACTTCAAACTCATCGTAAAATGCAAGTCCCCAATCTAGTTTCCACTACTGTAGCGGCCCAAAGCTGGACAACAATTAAATGAAAAAAATGCTACTACATATAATAAAATTTTAACCCAAAGAAAACACGCAACAGGCTGCAGTTGAAGAGAAAGATCAATTCTTCAGCATTCCTAAAAATGATGATGCTGCCAAATATAAATAAGGAAGGCTTTTAAAATAACCCGTGTAAAGTTAAACGCAAAAGAAAGACGTAGAAGTATCAAACTATATAGATGACAAATAATATCTTGCCGTGAAATATAATTATTAAATAACCCATGCTTCGCCATTCAAAATAGCCATACCACAAAAACCAGTTCAGCTTTGTTTTATTGGGTCTGTTGTTTCCTATAAAATTCAAATATCATGATGTCTTCAACCAACGTTTACAAGAGTTAAGAGTAACTACCACAACCTGGTAAAACAACAGGTTAGGACATCGTTCTCTGTCTCCAACATCTATTAAGCACTAATGCTCCCTAAAGCTACTTTATTTGCACAATGCACAACAAGGAAGGAACTCGGTTCATGAATCTTATTCCTTTTATGCCAGGTAGAGATAAGGCGTAAGGATCGACAATAAATTCTCTTCTCCCGCGCACAACAGAAAGGTCTAGATGGCCAAAAATATTAAAAAAGAACGCCTCGTAATGAAATTCTCAAGACCAACGCTACAATATATCTTAAGACATACCTGACCCTTCTCGCCCACGACGATCAACTCGTCCGATTCAGTTGCCGACTTGTTCACGGATGAGATTTCGTTCTCAGGATCGCCATCCAGAACTACGCAATCATCATCTGACTCTTTCGCTACCGGCCTCGAAGACTTTGACTTCGGTTCGGGTTTTTGCTCATGGACTACGATAACATCGTCGGAATCGTCCGATTCTTTGTCAGACATGCCCAGAAACTCCTTAATCCAATCATAGTCGACGCCTTTGAGTCCCTCCTCCAAACCAAGTTCTTCATCGGAGCTTATGTACAATACATCGGGCATGGATTCCATGGAAAATGAAACAAAATAATTACACTGCACCAGAAATCATAAAAGATTCAAAATTCCCGCACGGCGTCGTAGTGGGTTTGTCCACCGTCTCCCATAAAATTCCACAGTCCAAATATAGAAACAAATTCATAATCACATCCGAATCCACGCTTTGAAATAAAAGCAAGATGGTATACCCAGCATAGTAACTGAAAAACCCTTCCAGATTATCGAGGGGTTCCCGGAAATAAACTTTTGCGCATGATAGATTTCGAGAACTAGAAATTCAAGGAACCAAATGTTCCAAATGAACACTTGATGCAGTCTGAGTAGGAAAATTAAACGGTTCAAGCTGCAACTAGTGTAAATTTAATCAATATATTAGCATTGCGGTTCGCAAGGCCTTTGAGTTTCAGGTTAGGAAGGCAAGGAGAGGCGCATGCGAGAGAAAGGGGAGGTCGGGGGGAAGAGAGAGAACGACACTAGCCTAGGGACTGACTGGGTGGAAAGGAAGGAAGGAATGGAGAGAAAATATCGAAAAACGAATTATAGCCAAGGATTGGTATTTCCTGTCACCGAACAAAAAACAAAAAAAGGATTGGTATTTCAGGGTTAGGGGAGGCCTGAATTGGTAATTTCATGTTTCCCGGGAAAATGAGGGGGAAACGGCTCTTGCACGTCCACGGAAAATTCTGAAGCAGGATGTTATCAACGTTTCGGATTGACGCTTCCGAGCGATCACGTCAGTTCGAAGAAATCTAAGACCAACACTAGGGCCCAAACGCTTGAATTTCATTTCATTTCATTTTACCCTCATAAATTTCATTTCAATAATTCATTAATTTGCAGAAACTGGTCCCCATAAACAAAACAACAACAAAAATAATAGTAATAGAAGTGGACTGAGGGGATAAAAAATGAGTAACTAATTATTTTGTTTGAACTCATTTACATTTATAATTTGCCACGTATGATGTAAGCAGAAATGGTCAAGTTTAGCTGAATTAATTTGAATATTTTATTTATAAATAATTTTTATTTTTTTAAATCAAGAAACTCGTCATAATGTGGACTAGTCTAGAGACCCCATTTATCAAATTTTTTCAGGAACAAAATTCATCAATTATTTTGGTGAGGGGTGAATGCAAAATGATAGGTGGTTGATAATATCTTTTTAGTGTTATGATATATAACAGGTTTCAAAATTATGTTGTGCAAGTTTATTCGGGCTTAATGTATTGGGCTCGACTTCTCTCCGCGACTTTTTTTATCCGTTGCCTTTTCCTGCTCAAGATGACATCATCTCATTTCATCAAATGATAAACTCAATACTCTTGGGAAAAATCACAAAAAAAGACCACCAAAATAAAAAAAAATGCAAATAACAACCCATGACAGCATTAGTACTCTTCCGATCCTTAATAGAAGGTCTATTTAATTAATTTAATTTGATTAATAAAGTTAGTTAATTATAAGAAATATGAAATATTTTTTCTAAAATACCATAATTATCTTTTTTAATATCATTTTTTCCTCTTTTACTTGATTATAGTTGAGGAAGATCCATACGAGTAATTTAACAAAAATTGATAAATATGACAAATGGGTCTTATAATTAGGACAAAAATCAATTCAATAATTAAGTCTTATATTAAAGACCGGAAGAGTATGAGTTTTGCTAACAACAATCTGGGTTTTGACAATAATTTTTGTGAATTAGGTCTTGTATGCAATTGTTCTATTTCAGCAATCTTTCTTTGCAATTTTCCCATACTCTTGTTATTTTCTTTGAGCTTTATGACTTCAATTATTAGTATTAGAGAGAATTACAATGAGGTTCCAGGAAAAAAAATTACTAAAAAATTTTAATGACAGTCTAAACAGTTTGTAATAACAAGTTTTATAATAAAAAACAATAACTTCTCTAACTTGTTTTGTAATTATTTTTATTTCTTGAAATATCATTGTAATTCTCCTCTAGCATTATTATAGGATGTTGGTGTACCAAATTACCAATGGCCTCTTGAATCAAGGCATCGGATCAACCACCCACATTGAGTGACATATTTCATGGTAAATACTACCTTCGGTTCTTGATATAAGAATTCATTTAATTTTTATTTTGATCCCAAATATAAGACCATAATTTATTTTATCTCTTATATTTATCCTTTTTTTCCTAAGATGGTCATTGTAATAATGGTAGTTATAACTAATACATTTGATTAACAAAGATATTTCATAAAAAACAATGTCATTTATTACAAATAACTAACTTAACTAGTTTTTTTAATCTATTCAAATTAGTCAACCAACTCTCATATTAAATATCGAACATAGTATAACCAGGTTGAGAGTAAAGAAGTTGAATCAGGAGAGAGAGAAAAAGAAAGAAACAAAAGGGAAGCATGATCCAAGTAAGATTGCAGGAAAGATGTGCTCTGCTTTAAGAGGGGAATAATGAGTTGTGTGAGGGACGTTTGCTAAAAGAACAAAGGCGAGAGAAAGACGATTTGGCAGGGATTCAACTCGAAGCACTGCTTGCAAAAAAAATCCAGGCTGGCTAATGAAATCACAAACATGATAAGAGAAAACCAATGTTTACATTAGTCAGTGAACTACTATCAACATAACGCTTAGTCTCGAGACCTCTTTGAACCACACAAGCTAGTCATCCAATGAACGTGCCTGAACTTCTCATTTTCGTCACCGTTAATGTTGAAGAAGAAACCTCCTGTAATAACAACAATAATTAAGCTCATATAGCGTGAGAAAAAAAAAAGGGAGAATAATAATGAATATTAAACCTGATCTGGTTGGGAGATAAGAGGGTGAATAAAAGAGGTCGTCGTCACAGGACGCGAGATTTCTCACATGAGGAGCCGAAACAACGCTATTTTGGGGTTGGGGTAGGGGAAGGGTAACAGGCGAAGAGAATCGCGGAGAAATGAACCTCAGTGCTACTTCCGATCTTAATTATAAGAAAGAACTAATTTGAAGAAATTAAGAAAAGAAGTTAAGTTAGTTATTTGTAATAAACAGGTGTTATCTTTCTTAAAATATCCTTACTAATCAAGTATGTTAGTTAAAACTATAATTATTAGAAGGACTATCTTAGAAAAAATTGAGTAAATATGAGAGACAAAATAGATTGGGGTCTTATATTCAAGACTAACATAAAAGCCAAATGGAGTTTTATATTAAGGACCGGAGGTAGTATACTAATACTAAGATCCCATTTAGTACTCTGACCAAAAAAAAAAAGGATCCCATTTAGTACAAAGGATTCAAAATAAGAAATAGAGATTAGGATTGAGATTAAAAAAACCTAGTGAATGAATGTTTAGTATAAAATTTTTTGTTATACGGGATTAGACAAGTTCGTATATTTAGAGTTAGAGAATATCATAGTAGGAGGTGGTATTCTTCAATCCCCTCAATGAATTTACCTAATCACATATAACAAGTAATTACTTGTACTAAAAAATTTTTGAATGATTTTTCTTAATCACAATCACATTCCCAATTCTTTATTTTCAGCTTTTCGTAGCAAATGGGATCTAAGTGTGGCAATTTGTAAATACATTCCCCCGTTATCACAAGGAGGCTGTATCAAACGTTTATTTTAGTTCTCATTCGGTGTACACTGCAATAACCAATAATCTGTACAAAACATTTCATTGGTTCTCATTCATTACTCATCACAATAATGATTCACCTGCACCAAATATTTCACTCACTCTCCGCTTATTTCTCATCGCTATTTAAACTATAGTTAGACGAGCACACTTTGTAATTAAATCTTAAGAAAATAGATAAATTTATATATTATTTTTAAGGTAAAGATGCATCCAATACCATAATCTTATTTTTCAAACATATTTAGTACCATAATCTTATTTTTAATGCATGCAACATCCTAATGTTTAACGTGTTTGATCGATGTAACTAAAAAATCACATTGGGGTGCTTGATACATCAGAAAAATAAAATCAGGGTATTGAATGCATTATAAAAAAAAAAACCTAGCGTGTTGAATGCATCAGAAAAATAAGATTAGAGTATTAGATGCATCTCTACCCTTTATTTTCATATGACTATAGTAATTATGTGTAACTTTTTTTCTTGACATGGTTAGGATAATTATATTTAGTTTTCTCACAAGCACGGCATTTTTTGTAGTTTTCAAACAATTAGCCTGTGTATTTATAATTTTCACACAAATAGTTCCTTTGCTTGTAATTTTGAACGAACAGATACTTGTATGGAGCTCTAATCATCATAAAAGTATAAAACCTCCTCCTCGTTCAAAAATTAAAAATATACCCGACTGCCGGGTCACATGCGAAAATTACAGATCATACTGTCCTCACAAGAATACAATATCCTGCTATTGTGAATATTACAAATAACGACCCGTTCAATGTGAAAGTTTCGAACAATAACCCGTACATTGCAGTATTGCTCCTGTAAAAATTATGAGGGTTAAAATACAAATCAATCCATAAAGTATTTCGCTATGACCATCTAACTTCATAAACTTTTTCGGGTGCAAAATATAGTTAAAGCTTCTAAAATGATGCAAAAATGCCATGGTCGTTGACGTTGCCTGTTTAGCAAATATATAAGTCAAGAAAATGACGTAAAAATATGTATAAAATTTTGAAAATAATGCCAAAATGCCATGGTCATTGGAAACTTTATGTATATTTTTACACCATTTCAGAAATCTCATGTGTATGTTTGTACTGTTTTCTTAGTTGACATGTTTGTTAAATAGTCAATGTTAGTTGACTTAACAGCTGTGATATTTTTGTACCATTTTAAAAACTTTACATGTACTTTTATATTTAAGAAAAGTTTATGGTGTTTGGTGTTCTTGTAGAATACTTTAGAGGTAAATTTGCCCCTTAATCCAATTATAAATGTCTATTGTATTCAAAGTTTGCATATAAGTACCGCATGCTTGAAAAAGTCTGACAAATTACTCTCACCAAAATTTAAAGAAAAGTACAAGCAAGGCGCTATCGCTACAAACCATTCATATTGTCATTGATATTAATTTTGTATTTGTCAAAATATAAGAACGAGATACAATTAAATATTCAAATTGGACTTTAATTTTCAACCCTTTTACGCAGAAGTAGAATAAGAATAGTTAGAACCAGTCTATTCTTTATTTTTGCTATTTTTCATATTCCCTTGTGCTGTTGTTGACGGAAGATGCCCCCACAAAAATAAAATAAAGATCCCAAAATTTATCATAGATGTCTCCATTATGTGATCATAAGATAGATCACAATTCACGTACATTTGTGTTAGGCCTAGAGTTTTCATTAAAGCTTGCCTATACCTGATTAGATTTTAATCGTGTCTTTGTGGAGTGATGAATCCCCTGTTTCTTAAGAACTGAAGTTAAGTGGCTGATTTTGACCCAAAAAATAAAAGTTAAGGGGGTGTCGTATATACTTGTTATAATATTTTAATTTTAAAAAATATATTGTTAGTCATTTAATTTTAAAATTATTAATTTTAAATGATAATTCTTTATAACAGGTTGATTTGAAAATTAAATTTGACATGTTAACATTTAAAAATATTTTATTAATATCATGATTTTAGTATCATTACTTTTTTAACAATTTAAAAAGTATAAAAATATACTTTTTAAAATTAAGTGATTAAATTAAAATATTGTATAAATTTTAAAAATTAAAAAATATATTTTAGCCTTTGTTTAATAATACCATTTATATTTGTCGGCAAAAAAAATCATACTACTATTTATGTTTATAACTACTCGTATAGTACTCGTAATTTTTGTATTGGGGCCCACTACATGGCGCGCGGTCTCTCTCTCTCTCCCCCTCGCAGCCCAAAACTTTCCAGTTTCCCGTTTCCGGTTTTGATGCACCCGACGCGAGGGAAGCGGCGCGTTGAACTTTCAAATCGAAACAAATATTATTCCATCTAAATTACTCGTCCGGTTCTTAATATAAAACCTATTTAACTAATTTGATTATATTAAGAAAGTTAGATAAGTTAGTTAATTATAAGAAAAGTGAAACATTTTTTCTAAAACACCATAATCATTTTTCTTAATACTCCATCTTTCTCTTCTATTTGATTATAGTTGAGGGAGTATCCATAGGGGTAATTTAGAGAAAATTGATAAATATGATAAATGGGTCTTATATTTAAGACCAAAACCAACTCAAGAATTGAGTTTTATATTAAGAATAGGAGGAGTATTATTTATGTTGACTAAATGTAACTTAAATTTCACGCAAAAAATAATCTAAATTATTCATAAAATAATATAAATTTCTCATAGTAATTTTTTTGGGACAAAGATAACATTTGTCACCTCACACTTCAGTATCGCGCGGGCAATTCATTAAGGAAAATGAGAAAACAATTAACGAAAATTTAGGGTAGTGTTTGAAATATTTGGTTCCCCACAAGTTTTGTTTCCCATTTTTGGCTCCAAGATTTACCCTCCAATTGAACAACCGCCTCTTCCTTTTATTTTCCCGCTGCTTGTCTCTGAAAGATGCGGTCACCAGACAAGGGGTGCGAATTGCTGGTAAATTTCTCTACAATGTTGATTTTTACGCCATCCTGTTCTTTTTGGGATCATCTCTTTTATTTTCGTTTGTTTTCATGCATTTGTTGTGCTTCATTTGCGTTGCAAGGTTTTACGTCCCCAGCAATTTGAAGTTGGGAGTTTTATAACTTGATTTGGCTCTTTTGTTTTTAGGCATTGTGCCAGGATAATAAAAAAACTCAGCAGTTCCATTACTATCGTCTATTTTAGAATTCGGTACGATTCTTTACGTGGAGGATTTCAGAACTTTAAAAATATTTGTGGAGTTGACATGCTCAAGATTACAAATCTATTGATCGTTAAAAGCATTTTAAATGGTTTTAAGATTCGGTTATCTGTAAGGAACGATCATCATTAATGATTTAAAGGGAGTCAGAATGCTAAATTTTCACCTGTATCCGCTTATTCAATTCTGATTCTAATTGAGTCGTTAATTTAGTGTATATAGTCCATCGGTGTGCTGGTTCGGAATCAAGTTGAGCAATGGAGCGGAAGCCGCAATTTGTTCGTGAACTGTAACTTTACAACATGAGCTAAGTATGTAGACATGGACACAAAAGAAGATGGTAAATCTATTGATGATCAGGGCTCGTCGCCTATCATGGCCCTACAGCAGTTGTCTGAGGTGGCTATCGGAGTTGGTGGAGAAGCATTTCATCGTGAGAAGACTGCCGTTTCACCCAAGGTGCCTCCTGGACATAGACGCTGTCAAAGTGAAGTTGTAACTGCAGGACTTCAAAGGAGTGACAGCTACGAAAAGTTGAAGAATCATGTGCAGAGGGCTTGGCGGGGAGGAGGCAAATCCCCCGAAGAAGGTTCTCCTTTGACTTTTAACCCTGAGGTCTTAGCGAACCAAAAGCGTCAGTGGTATCAGCTTAATTCCAAAACCCTGGTACTCAATTCTGTTCTGCTTTATTCTACTATCAGAGTTCCAATATGACTTTTACATCTGAAAATCTTGCCTGCCTAATTGACGTGGAAGTTGCTCCATCTATTGCGTCCCTCACATATTTTTGTTGGAAATTTAAATTCATCAATCTGTTCCAGAATTAAGATGTGGAGCATACTGTAGGATTGTGCAAATCATAAGGAGCCAACCTCATTGTTCGAACATTTTGTGATTGTGGGGCTGCATCCAGATGCAAATCTGGAAGCTGTGGAGGTTGAATTTGCAAATAGGAAAAAGTGGGAAAAAGAGGGAAAATATGCGCCTGTAGAGTTCCAAATGATGCAGCAACAGGAGTCTCCAGTACCAGTGTTGGAACCTCAGGTATGTTAGATAGCAATTTTGTTTGTTGCTATCAACAACTTTCATATCGAAATGCAGAGATAATATCCAGCCTGTTTGATCAAAAGCTCAAAAGAATCCCGATGTACATTATTGGATATATCTAGTTCCTATGATTCTGTTCTGATGAACATGTTATGGTTAATCTTTAGGTTTTTTATTGAAATATAATTAATTTTATAGTCATTATGCGTATATATTATCTATGATTCTCTTCTGATGAATTCAGAAGATTCTGAAATAAACTTATTGCATCTTCACCATTATAGTATATGGATTTCATTTGAGGATATATTATGCTCCTGAATTCATTTAATTTACCCATTTTTATGACTACACCTTAGTCAATTATCACCGATTAATGAATTCTGTGTTTGATATCTATATTTCATTATTTCTACATCAGATTCTTTTCAAATATCCTCCTGGGAAGAAGCTGAGCATGCGCATGAAAGATTTAGCCTCTTTTTGCTTTCCTGGAGGTGTCAAGGTGAGCGTTCCATTTCTAGTAATCTGAACTAGATATCTCAAATGCCTTTCATTGTTAAACACTACTGTATGAATTGTTTGCTGAAAATGTTTGTTGCAGTTTTGTATTGTTTCCATTTTGGAGGTTATTTAACTGGTCCCATTACTTTTTATCAGTCAGTCTTGCTCCTCCTTCAGATGCATGCAAGTTTTATATTTTCCTTGTTTACTATTTTTTTATTTGTCTTGATCCGTAGTCAGATTACATTGAATATGGACCATTAGATTATCATCTTACCAGTGGAATTAACCACCCAACATTAACTTACTTGAATAAATCATGTCATGATGCTTCGTAGCTGCATTAAACTAGTAAGTGGCCATTGGGTTCTCTGTTCGTACTTGATTTGTGTTTGCCAAAAGATGCTATGATTCGTGATATACTTCTCCTGTTGGTGATAATATTTGTTTCTTGACTGTTTCATTTGTTGGATGTTGATTTACAGGCATCATTGGTGGAGAGGACTCCATCTCTAAGTGAACTGAATGAACTTGTGTATGGGCAGGTATTCCAAATCAGCAGATATTCCTGCTCTAAATCAAGCTGGTTAAAGTGAAGCTTTGTCCTTGATTTGTAAAATCTATTTGTTTAGTTCATGTAATTTATAATATAAACATTATTTGATAGTTTGTGCAAGTACTAACGGAGAAAAACTAAGGAGCTGCCTCTATAATACTCGATCTTTCTTTTCCATGTTAGCTTCTACTTTTGATTTCTTGCATCTACAAAAACGTGAAGTTATTGTCACCATGTCTCTGTTCATTCTTTTACAACCCACTTTTCTTGCTGGAAGGATTCTCTCATCTTTCATGGAGTCAGTCAAATGGATCATAGTCAATAATTTTATTTCATATTTGCTGCCTCTGTCTGTTGGTTCTCCTTCTTGCTGATAATTAAACTGCTCAGTTATCAGTCTTTGACGCATTTCTTTTTGTTTATTCTCTGCAGATTCATTTAGGCAGAGATGATTTATCATTTATCTTTTCACTCAAGGTAATTTGTTTATCACTTTCATTTATAAATGTGAGCGTGCAAGCTTGATATATTTTGTGACCCTTTGCTTGAACTCTCCTAGAAATAATTGATTTATCCGTGTTTTGCTTCATCCATTTTATTCAAGAGTCCTTGTCAGTATTCAGGATGGGCACCTAATCTTGTTTTCAATCTCCCTCTACGTTATGGGCTGAACAGTACTTTACACCATAACATGAACGATATTAACAAATCATTGCTTTTCAATTCGATAAAACCTTCCTAAGTATGTGCATGCTGATGGTATGACCCATCATGAAGTAGCTTATTGTAATTGAAGACATAGATGAAACTTAGTCATACTGCATCGCTCATGTTCTTACATGGGGAAGGAGGGCATCTAGAATGTTAGCTTAAAGAAAGTCCTGTTGCATGTCAAGGAATTTCACAATTTAAAAGCCTATGCTATGGAACATTGACAGTCATTGATAGATTATTACTATCTGTTATAACTGTCCATATATTCATCTATATGGTGTGTTTTTGGTTTAAAACCAATGGACAATGAATCAATGACAAGGCAACGCCGCAAGATCTAGATTGTCCAAGTGTTGTTTGAAGTATCGTGTTATGACTAATGCAAGTGTCTTGCAAGTGTCAGACATGGACATAACTCCCAGTTTAGGTATCCTTGCTTCATGGGTTTGGACATGTCTGCTGTTGACAAATTTTATGCAGTTTTTTTTTCCCTCACTTATTCTTTTATGCGCAATCTTATTGCTCTGGAACTGAAAATGGTGTTTGAAACAATTTTTGTGCCTATATATGGCTTGATCAGGCAGCACAAAATGCAACTCTCTACGGGGTCTGTTTACATGTGCCTGAAATCTTACAACGGCCACCTAGTATCTTAGGCATATCGTCTCCTCTTACTCTTCCCTCTGGGGCATGCAGCCGTTTTATGGTTTCTGCTCCTCGTTGTTTCTGTCTGCTGACTAGAGTTCCTTTCTTTGAGTTGCATTATGAAATGTTAAACAGGTTAGCATATTGTTTCTGCCTTTTCGCATAGTGATTCATATTGTTGGTTGTCATCATACTATTAAAGCATTAGGTTCGTTGTTTTTTTTCCTAGATCCAATAGCATTCACTATGCCTTACTTGGTTGCAGTCTTGCTGCACAGGAACGTCTGAATCGGATTACTCAGTTTGTAAATGAAATGACTCTTACTGGTTCTTTTCTCCCGCCTAAACTAGATGATCAAACAAATGAAAATGATGACACCCTAGAGAGGGGGTCTTTTAATGATTGGATGGCGTGTGCAATACCTGTTGAAGATGCAGCAGCCCTTGCTGCTGCCGCTGCAGGAATTATATCTGAT